GAGAGGAGAGGAGAGGAGAGGAGAGGAGAGGAGAGGAGAGGAGAGGAGCCCCTGTAAGATCCTAGATGACTTGCCCACCCTAGCTGTCCCCCACCTCTCTGGTCTCACCTCCTGCTACTCTCTCCACCCATCACTCACTCCTTCTGGCCTCAAATACACCACACATATGCACTGCTTCAGACCCTTGCACTTCCTTGAGCATGAAATGCTCTTTCCCCAGAGCACTTCTGTTTGCTCAAATGTGCCTTGATCAGTGAACCCTACCCTGGAAGTTTGAATTGCAGCTTCCACCTCAAACACACTTCCTCTCCCTCATTCCTGTTTTATCTCAGTAGCAATGATCACCCTCTAAAATGCCATCTAATTTTATTTACTTATTTATATTGTTTATCATCTGTCTCCCCATCTTCACCCACAGTAGAAATAGAAGCACCATGAGAGAAGGAATTTTTGTCTGTATTTTCATTGCTATATCTCTAGCACCCCAAAGAGTTCATGCTCGCAATAAATTGGTGTTAGATGAATGAATAGATGAGGACAGGGAAGCCCAGTTTGCTTGAAAATTGTCACCAGTCCAGTCTGGTATTGCCAATCTGCTAAGAAGCTACATCTTCCATGAGAAAATGACAATTAAAAGGTGATGGGAGCTAAAAGCCCCAGTGAATTCTTTGGGCCAACAGAAGACTCTGTGGAAAACAGTGAGTGCATAGATGGTGTTACGGACTGAATATTTGTGCCCACCCCAAATTCATTCATAAGTGGAAGCCCTAACCCAGGGTGGCTGTATTTGGAGAGATGGCCTATACACAGGTAATTAAAGTTAAATGAGGTCATAAGGGTGAAGCCCTAATCCAACAGGATTAATGTCCTTATAAGAAGAAACACCAGAGAGCTTGCTTGCTCTCTCTCTCGGTCTCTCCCTCTCTCTCCCTTTACACTCAGAGGAAAGGCCATGTGCTGATGCATCGAGAAGGCATCTATAAACCAGGAAGAGAGCTCCCACCAGGAACTGAATCAGCTGGCACCTTGATCTGGGACTTCCCAGCCTCCAAAGCCATGAAAAAGTAAATCACTGTTGTGGATGTCCAGACTGTGGTGTTTTGTAGCAGCCCAAGCTAACTAACTCAGAGGGTTAGAGAAGAGTCCCAAACTGAGGCATGAAGATACTAAAGATAAACTTTGCCATCTTGAAGACATGGTTCAGACTCTGTTAGCACCAACTGCCTTTTGCCCTTGAGTCATCTGTCACATGGTTGAATCGTCTGTCACATGGTTGTGTAGGCCATAAATGCCACGCAATTGTAGATGTGAAGAAGTTACCCATAGATGGAAACGTCAGTCATGAGATACCAACTTTATAGTTACTGCTATAGATGTAGCTGGTATATTACTTCCTAGAATAGTGTACAAATGAGATATATTTATATCAATGTGGCCGGTGCTAAAATTTTTCCTCAATAATTCTTTGCTTTCCAACACTAAATTCAGCCTGGGAAGCTACCCAGGTGCCACAAATTTAGATTCTCTACGGAAGGCCAGTTCTAAAACAGGTGAGAAGAGAGCATTCGGCCAGAAAGTCTACAATACTGAGCACATATAATGCTCTAATCGGCACTGCCATCACCACATGGTTCTGGAGCTCTAGGGTCAGGATCCCAAATAGTAAGATTTGCTGGCTTAGAGCAAAGAAAACCTCTCATGAGCTCCTCTCTGGCCCACCACCACCAATGTGAGGTCCTACAGGCTCAGAGCTGAAAGGCACACCTCTGGGCATCGCAAAGGAAAAAGAACAGCATTGACACAAAACTCAAATCTGGTTACAAACAGCTCTCAGAGACTTTCCTAATTCTTGCGTTGTGCGAATACAGGCATGCCTTGCTTTATTGCACTTCGCAGATGCTGCATTTTCATCAACACTGAGGCAAGGCCCTCCACCAGCAAGATTACAACTCACTGAAGGCTCAGATGATGGTCAGTAGTTTTTAGCAATAAAGTAATTTTTAATTAAGGTATGTACATTGTTTTTCAGACATAATGCTATTGCACACTTAATAGACTATTGTAGAGTATAAACATAACTTTTATAGGCACCAAAAAGTTTGTGTGACTCACTGTATTGTGATTTTCACTTTATTGGGATGATCTGGAACGGAACCTGCAATATCTCCAAGGTATTGTATTAAAATAAGTGACCTCTGGAGGAAGCTGGCAGGGTCAGGGAATATGTGAAGGATGAGGCCAGTAGATGAATAGAGACTCTGATCTGGGTCAGACTGCTCTTCTCAAGAGCAAACCCTCCCTTTCCCACCCCTGCTGATGGAGGTGAACCACCAGGACTGGTGTATAACTACATCTGCAGGGACATTTCTCAATCAAAGACAAAACACATCTTTATGTTGCAGTGCTCAAGCCCATGATGGTGGGGCTGCCGCAATGCTGACATTGCATCACACACAGGGACATTCCACTGTAATCTGGAACCATCTTTGTCAAAAGCTTAGGCCTCAGGCTCCTTCAGTGAGGCTAGTTTTACCCCAGACCTCCTACCACCAGGTATTCAGAGCCTCACTCCTTTTGAGTTGGTCAGAATACATAACCAACTTTAAGTTCTGTGTCATCTAAAAGTTCTGCAGTTTGCCCAGCTGGTGTGGCTCAGTGGTTGAGCATCAATCTAGGAAACAGGAGGCCACGGTTCGATTCCCAGTCAGGGCATATGCCTGGGGTGCGGGCTTGATCCCCAGTAGTGGGAGTGCAGGAGGCAGCCGATGAATGATTCTCTCTCATCACTGATGTTTCTCCCTCTCCCTCTCCCTTCTTCTCTCTGAAATCAATAAAAATATTTTTTAAAAATAAATAAAAGTTCTACAGTTCTATGAAGGAAGAGGGCTACATATATTTATAGCAGAATATTCTGTTTATGTAAATACACTTTTTACATAAGTACACAAATTTGTACGTGTTTACGCATGCACAGAGAATGATAAACGAGGCTCTGCATCAAGCTCCTAACATTGGTTACCTGGAGGGGCAGAACTGAGGAGAGAAATGGCAAAATTGTTGGGTTCTTTCACTGCTTCTATATTGGTTAGCCACCTTTACCTGTGACCCAGTCATGTCTATATTATGACTCCTAAATCAATCTCTCCAGCTAGAAATTTCCTCCAGGAGTTTTATCAATGCAGCACCGGAAGCAGAAGCTACCTTCCCCAAAATGTTCCCTTTTCTATTAAGAGTTTTAGGCGTCTTAGTCCCCAGAACGCAATCGCTAACTCTACTTTCTCTTTCCCCTGCCTGAGCCCACCCTTGCAACTCTTCCACCCTCACCCTAGCTCAGAGCCTTCCCTGCCACGTGGCTTCTACCTAGACTGCTTGCTGCAGCGTCATCTCTGAAACAGAGCTGCCCCCTCCTCCAGCTTCTCTCACCTACTACATCTCTCCCGGTGTCTCTAAGGTAAAGCTTCCATCCAACCACTCACTCACCTGCCTTAAAAAAATTTTAATCTCCACATTGTCTGCTGAATCACCTCAATCCAGAATCATACTAGTATTCAAGGGCCTTCACTACACAGGTTCTGACCACTCTGACTCATCCCCTACTGTTCCCACAGCCGTTGCACACCAGCCAGCCTGGAGCTCACACTTAGGAAGGTACACACTGTGTTCCAGACAGCAAACTAAGTATTCTATGAGTATTGTTTTATTTTAATATGAACGCAAGCACTGATGTAGCTATAGACAATGACAGATTAAATTATGCTAAAAGCTCCTATAAAACAATATCATCAGCTGACACTCCTGTACATTTACTAATTATAAGCATCATTAAAGATCTATGGTCATCAGGAAGTAAAAAATTACAAAGTGCATGTTTCCAAAGAAAGATTAATTTAATTTCTATGATCCTTTATAACACTATGATATCATATCACATGCAAGGTAGTTTAGTGTTGGGTATATTTTATAATATTCTATACCATATCATAAAATAATATTAGCTATACTATTTAACTGACCTGAATATCCCATTTCCTGATTGTGCTGGTTGCCAGCATATACATGATCTCCTATTACTCTGATACTGTGATACTAAGGAAATTATGCTTACTTAAAGAGGAATACTTATACACCTAAACATACAAGGAAAATAGCTTCAGCCCCGGCCAGGCATGGCTCAGCGCTTGAGCGTCGATCTAGGATCCAGGCGATCAGGGTTCGATTCCCGGTCAGGGCACATGCCCGGGTTGCAGGCTCGATCAATGACTCTCTCATCATTGATGTTTCTATTTCTCTCTCTCCCTCTCCCTCCCTCTCTCTCAAATCAATAAAGATATATTTAAAAAAAAAAAAAAAAA